CGTAGTATATTCAGTTATGTGTAGTTTCATTAAGATGCACGTAGTATATTCAGTTATGTATAGTTTCATTTAGATGCACGTAGTATATTCAGTTATGTATAGTTTCATTAAGGTGCACGTAGTATATTCAGTTATGTATAGTTTCATTTAGATGCACATAGTATATTCAGTTATGTATAGTTTCATTAAGATGCACATAGTATATTCAGTTATGTATAGTTTCATTAAGATGCACGTAGTATATTCAGTTATGTATTGTTTCATTAAGATGCACGTAGTATATTCAGTTATGTATAGTTTCATTAAGATGCACGTACTACATTCAGTTATGTGTAGTTTCATTAAGATGCACGTAGTATATTCAGTTATGTATAGTTTCATTAAGATGCACGTAGTATATTCAGTTATGTGTAGTTTCATGGTACATGGTAGTTATAAGATCAGTTACATACATTGAGCTATTATATAGAGAGTTAACAAATATTGCAAGCATATGCTTAATAGTCTGTTTTATTTGTTCTGCCAAACCATCTGACTTGGGTGATAAGGTAAAGTGTACATCCTCACCACACCTGATGCTTTGGACAGCCTAGAGAAGAACTGATTATTAAATTACCTCCCTGATCTATCAGGGGTGCTGAATTGGAATATCCCTTCTGCTGCCAATACATCAGAAATAGACTGTACTAAAGTGTCAACCAATAGATAAGCCTCAACGTAATTGGTGAAGTAATTGATAATGATAAGCAGGTACTAATTACCAATAAGAGTGATTCTAGCTTCATGCTGAACGAGGAAGAGGAGAATTTGATTTTTTGTTCACTTGACTTTCTGTGTTAAACAAAATTTAAAGAAAAATGGAAGTTTTGAAATATTAATTATTAACTAGGGGACATAAAACATGTGGTACCTTCCTGTTCCACGTATTACAGAGTCCAAGTTGCCTACCTAACTGAATTGAGCAATTAGACTGGATACAAGTTTTGCTGCAAAACAATAATGGTTGTATACATCTTTATAGGAAAAATAAATGAAACTCAATCATAAAAAGTGCTAACAAGAAAAAGTGGTTGTACTTTTCTATTAGTGGAGAGAGATCTAGGTGAGAAGAAAATATAAATACTACAAAATTAACTGATTTGTACATAATGCAATTGGGGCAATGCTTTCGAAGTTCATTTTTCACACATGTATCTTGATCATCCTGTAAAATAGGCCTGGCATGGCCAGATGGTTAGGGTGCTCAACTTGCAATCTGCTGGTCGTGGGTTCAAATCCCCATACCACTAAACGTATTTGTCCATTCAGCTGTGGGGCTTTATAATGTGATGGTCAAT